TGTGTCCTTGCACTTCATGCATGCAAATATAGCCACAGAGTCAGGGATCCTTACCTCAAGGACGTAAGAAATGCCATACTGAGTCTAATCCGAGTCCAATATCCTGTCTTGGACAGTGGCAAGAGTAAATGTTTTAGAGGAAGAGCATGGAACCAGGTACATTCATGGTGTGTATATACATATATGTATGTATGTATGTATGTATGTATACACACACACACACACACACACACACACACACAGAGTAATCTATCCCCTATTTGTTACTTTCCCTGGCATCCACCACCCTTGGTTTACAGATGCGAGAGGAAACATCTTCAATTTTTCTGTTTCCTTGTAGCCTGGATGTTAGGAGTTTGCCTAAGTTATCAATCTGGTCTGTATGGTAGACCAATAATGTTTTCAGAAACCCATTGAAAACGTGTAAGGCTACACAGGCATTGGAGTCAGTCTACCAAGTGTGGGGCTAAGGTGGAAAAAACACAAAAGATAAGAAGGGTCACAATGCAATGAACTGCTGTCCCCCAATGAAGCTAATGGCAAAATTCCAGCTGCCTTTAACATCAGGATTTGAAATAGCTATTTAAAAAATAGCTCTGAGTAGGAGGTCACTGGTAGGTCCTATAATTTTTGTCTTCATTTGGCAAAGATTTTCTTTTTATGTTCACTGTTGCATGCTTATTACCCTTTATACTTTTTTCTCTATCCTCTGTTATTTCCAGATAGACTATGCCCAATGGTGTTACATAATATAATGCACACACAAGCATTCATAATTTCTTTACGCATTTTGCTTGCTTTGCCCTGACAAATGCAGCTGTAGAAAGAACAACAAACATAAATCCTACCCTTTGAAAAGAAGAGTAGGAAATCATGCTGACTGGGCCAGACTTCTCATGCTGAGATATTCAGCCTCTGAAGATCTCATTTTCTACTCTGCAGGGCTGGAACGTGCATCTCCCAGGCCAGTATGGCTTTTCGGTGGCTGGAATGCTGTCTGCAGTTCAGCTGCACCCCTACTTGAAAGTATGCTTGCACCCGAGAACCACTGAGTACAGATCTAGAGCACTTCCTTTAAGCTTTCCCCAGTAACCTCCTTAGTAAAAGCCAGCTCAGAGCCCACTCTTAAGGTATACGAGTTAAAAGTCCCTTCTTCAAACACAAAGCTTTGCCAAGAGGCTGGAGCAGCTCAGAGGGGCTTGTACTGCCACTGGAATTTGGGAGGGTTTGCTCGTAAGAGAACTCATAAATGTACCCGTGTAGCACATCGATAATGTCTTTTCATTTCACATTCAGCACCTGAAGCATAACCTTCTCTGTGTCAGAACATTTTTTCTTTTCAGAGCAGGTAGATTAATGACCTTGTATTTCTGAAAACTAGTCTCTGGTTTAAATCCAACTTCCAGCTGGTGCCTATCAAGCGGATACAGATCTCTGAGGGTGCAGAGTCATTTCAGATAAGACTAATGACTAATCCAAAGTACTTTACCCGCCATGTAGATTCAAATATCTACAGTTCCAAGCAATAATTGGTCCTAGAATTCTCTTCTTTCAGGCACTGAGTAAAGCCAGCAATATAAGCTGTGTTTCAAGGTATATCAAGTGAAACCAGTTATCGGAACAAAAACAAGGTCTAAAAAGCATTTTAATGCTCCTTCATTCTAATCTCAACTGGGTGAGGGCAAAAGAACTAATCTTGTCTTGAATTCCAGGGTAGTTGTAACAATTCACAAAACATTTTAACTGTGATGTGTATATTTTTAGATTTTAATGAACTCTTGGTCTTATGGCTGAATATATGAAACTACCATATGGAGAGTTATTATTACAAGCCTAACTGCAGTTATGATTGGTGTCTTGGAATATGTAGGTGCAAATAACAAAAAGCTAATGAATTCAAGCCAGTAAGTCATGTTTTATTTGCTTTCCTTTTCTCCTCCTTTCCGAAGCTGGCTGAAATACAAGTTCCACTGCAAATGCAATGACCAGCAAACATGGATGCCATCACAAATAGAATGTTGCCAAGAGGAAACACTCCACTGACTAACTACAAAACTTCCCCTAGCAACTGCAAGGTATTCTGGACACTAAACTGCAAGAAGTTTGGAGCTGTTGTCTAAACAGGATATATGGATCTTTTGGGTCTGGGGACTATGGAATTGACATTTATGTAAAACTTAGAATTTCAGTAACTTCTGAAATAAATGAGCAAGGAGAGGTTCTGCTATCACTTTGTTGCACTTTGTTCATAACATCAAGACCTCTGCACACAAATGCTATGAAAGTGCAGGTGCACAAAATAAAAGAATAAGACACAACTGCTTCTTGTTCATCATTTCAAAGACAGTGTCTAATCCAGGCATCATTTGAAACATTATTTTGAAGAGAAGAGGTTGCAGGTTGATGACAGAACGTAACATTTTATACAGTGCCTGTCTTTGTCTTTCCCTTTCACTGAAGGGAGTGAAATTTATTTCTCAATTAAATAACCCCTTAGCATAACATGTTATCCACTAATTGAAGACAACATCAATTATAAGGTGCTACATGTAAGAAAGAAAAATATCAAGCATTTAAATATCTAATAGGAAATAACTAGCTGGCCTGTACCACTGCCCAGAAGGATCTGGGGGGTCATTGTAGATTACAGTCAACATAAATAAGCATTGCCAGGGTCTTAGGAAAAACTTCCTAACTCTAAAAGCAGAAGGACAATGGAGCAAGCAGCCTAGGGAAATTGTGTAATCTTCTTCATAGGAAGTTTTCCAAAGGCGGTTGGATAGGTATCTATTTGAGGTGGATAAAACAGCAAATCCTGTATCTGCCCTGGGATGGGACTCAATGACTTCCAAATTGCCTTCCAGTCCTGTAATCCTTTATTTTACAAAAAAAAGTTACTATAATTAGCTGTTCTATTTGTAAGAATTTATAATCCATCTCAAAGTGGATGAGATACTGAATTACAAAACTATGAAAGGCATCTTCTAATATCCAGACAAGGCATTGAGCTAATTTTATAAAGTAGTATTTACAAACATATTTGAATAGAAAACTAATCAATTTGACAGCATTTGCAACTACTTCACAGCCACTACTTTAAGGAACATTTATATGTAGGCAAATATTTTGTTTACATGTGTCAACAGAAAAGGTCAAAATATTCATGCTAATATATTTTCATAAGTATTTGCCAGGCCAATTTGTAAGCTTAACAGTTTGGAAAACTCACCCAGGCCACAAAACAGATCACTTGTTACAAATGCAATGTAGTAGATTTATTAAGATGTGAAGGAACAGTCATAAACAGTAGATCATTTATAAGCAATCAATAAAATGAAAGCACTGAATAATTTCAAATAAACTAAACTGACTGCTCTGTGGATAATTCAGAATGCCTACAGCTGTCAAACTGTCAATTCAGTTAATAGTTATACAACTGCTGTCTGTAAAGTAGTGCTCCTTACATGCCCATTTTAAGGACCCCAAGCTGCCTATTGCATGAGGCTACTGAACTATAATTTTAACACACTGGGATTTAGTATACCATGCAGCTCAGCTGCACAAGTTAAAAGTTTACTACATTACCACAGAAATAATTTTTTGAGAAAATGAATCCTTATAACAACATGGTAAGTTATGTATAAGATGTCTAAACAATTTGAAAGTGTTTCTGTCTCTGACGCTTGGAACTTCCGTGGTTTTTACTTTTCATGGTCCTAAACTCCACACCGCAAACTGAAACTTCACAGCACGGGCTTGATTTAAAAAGGGATCTAGAACCCGAGTGGTATTTCAAGTGAAGTGAACATGCTTCAGTATTTTAATACTACATGCACATTAACTAAACTTTGTTTCAGCTACAAAATGTATTGCAAACTGAATATATTTTCTAAATATAAATCTGTGAGCAGAAGAGGTTTTTATCCTTATACAGAATGGTTTCAATTTTGATTGCTGCTTAAATTAATTCAGTCTATAGTACAGCTTCACAACTCTTTTAGAGCTCAAGATAAAACCAAATTATTTGAGAATGTATTAAAAATAAAGGAGTTTTAAAACTCTAGATGGCGCACTCCTACAGAAGACAGCTATTCATCACCAAGCCTTCAGGTTTTTTGGTTTAAAAAAAAATTAATTTCACTCCTTAATTCCCAGGTGATACAACCTACCTATAATCAATATATAGACATTTTAAAATCACATTTTAAAGGGACTGATCTGTAATGTATTTAATGCATAATTTACTTAATTTATTTCAATGTTAAAATTCATTGAATATACATTGGTAAATAGTTGTAATAAATTTCAGATATTTCAGTTATTTAAAGCAGATTACACAAAGAAGGCAACTATGTTTACTTTAATAAACTGGAAGAGTGAAATAATTATGATCTTATTCTAATCAATTCCAAAGAAAAATTAAGTACAGAATATTTATGGGAACATGAGGACTACTTGCTAATCCTTCTATCATTAACAATGAAAATCCATTTCTAATATTGAAAAAAATCATTTTTATACTTTATAACTATGCTGAGAATATTAAAAAATTACAATTCATGACCAATTCAAAGGAAACTCATTAAAAATAAAATCATATATAGCATTGGCTTTACATTTTTAAAAAGTCTATGGTAGAAAATATATTTGCCATTTTTTCAACATTTTAACCAAAATTTTCTATCACGTTTTGTTCTGTTTTAACAACTCAATGTAGAATTAACTCATGATTTTTGTTTTGGTTCTGTGGTCAACCAAACAAGGGGAACAGTCCTGGAACATGGATTAACTAAACTGTCCCTTGTAACATACCTCACAGAGTATGTAGCAGGGTTGAATTACAACAATGTGGGGCTCTAAACAGACCCCCAAGTCATGGCACCACTCTCCTCTATATGACGGCATGTTACAGAGCTCAGATGAAAGGTGCAGTTCATACCTCCTGGAGCTGTTGGTTCAAACAGACTTGGGCAAACTGCAGTTAAACTTGGGTCATGTTGCTTTGAATCCACAAGGGGCAGAAACTTTTTTTTTTTTTTAATAAAAATAGATTATGATCTCATTGCATGATCCCAGTAATTTAAGGATCCCAGAAAGGGGTTTATAGTGCATATATCTTAATTTAGCAAGTATATATTAAATGAAATTGAAAATATGAAACTATTATTCATTATTTCGAAGTTCAACATAAAGTCTGTGTTGGACTATTTCCAATTGAAATTTTTGTTGGCTGATTTACTTTTGTTCTGCAGATCAACTGCTGAAATTCCAATTGAAGATATTATGTCTAAATGACTAAATTGGCATAGTTTAATTAAAAACACTGGGAATTAGTAGAAACTGAATTAATGATGTATAAACCATGTGTTATAGCATTTCCCTAAATACAAAACTAGCGCAGATTTTACTCACTTGCTTTACTGAGACAATTTTAAATACACGCAGCGGAACATACATTCTTTCCATAATGTCCCTAATTGTACAGATAAAAAGGATGTGTGCAGATGTACCAAAGAGATGATTAAAAGCACTAGTAGACATTAGCCCACAAAGACCCCAGCACACCATTTAAGCACATCCCTGTACCAGCTAAAGCTAACTCCATACATATATTGCTTCCATTTCCAGACTGCCATATTAAAAATGCTCTAACACAAAACTTGTATGTCAACTTTATTCACCAATAAACTGTGCTGTGCTGAGGCACCATTATGGCTCATGTCTGTCTGTTTGGTAAATATTGCTGAGTCAAATTTGATTATGTTTTTTTGTTTTAATTAAAGAAGTACAATACATTACATAAAATTATCTACATGTAAAACTATGAAGCTGCCATAGGCTGTCCCAATAAATAACCAAACTTATTCATCATTTAGCAATTTTATTTCTACACCTGGTTATGACTTAAAAAATCATTACTGTACATAAAGGAGCTAAAGGAGTTGCTGTGCAATAAATGTAATTTCTTTGTCTTTGAGAGATAAATTATTAATTTCTGTGGGATTTCATCATCATCTTCACTGAATTAATAAATAAGCTATTTCATTTTTATAAACCATATGATTTAAGATAGCCACATAAACTAATTAAAATGGAACTGCTTTTAACAGCACTGGGTACTTAAATAACTCAGAAGACATAAAAGGCTGAACACAGAGTTGTGAAATTCAATGTTATAACTCCATAACAACCTATGATTGAGTGATCTGCAGGGCTTCCAACATGTCTTCCACTGCCTTCAGAGAGTATTTAGTCTCCTTTTTACTGTGACCTGCAAACTAAAGAAAAGAATTAAATAGATTTATAACAAACATGTCATAGAAATGTACTATACAATGCTGAACAATGGTCCTGTGCAAACTGCAGTTCGGAATTTTAACAGAAACAAAAGTAACTGTTAAAAATGCACCATTTATTTACTGTAAACTTAAAACATACAATGCATGCTAATTTTTAATGATATCAACTGTTTCTGCCTCAGTTATAATCTACAGAAGCTATCGTTATCTTGTCATGCACATCAGAATTCATTCTAAATTTGAATTTGTTTAGACTAATCTCTGTACTCTAATCTTGCAGTTAGTAATTACCTAGAACGCAAGAACTGCCACTTACTGGGTCAGACCATAGGTCCCTTTTGCCCAGTATCCTATGTCACAGTGGCAGAGAGGGGATACTGAAAGGGAGAGTAAACTGGATATTACCACAGGTTTTCCTACTGTTCCTCTCACTTGTAGCCACAAAAATAAATTATTTTCAGCATTGTCTGCTCTATAGTTTGAATTTTTTTAAAACTGTTCGGTTGTATATTTGATTAATATTAGATCATATCCATATTTTCATGGTGGTAGAATGTATACATTATATAAATATTAATAAGACTTCATTACAGTTACAGCAAAGGACTGGAATACTTTACTTAAACTACTAAAAAGCAATGCGGTCATCCTATGATTGCATTTCATGGTTCAACAACGTGATAGTGAGTAATGAAGTTTTATTTGATTATAATCTACTATTACAACTGTAATTCCAGATTTAATTTGAAATTAAATCTATATTAGTAATGAAGGAAGATACAGCTCGGCAAATATTATCTTTGTGCAATGTAGCTTTTGAATTCCCTACAATACATGAAGCTTGGCTGGGGGAGTGGGGTAAAGGACTGTTGACTACCCCATGCTGATCTCAAAATGAGTTTTCTAACTGTACTGACAATTCACGTCACTCATCAGCCTGATTTAACACGGTAGATTTATTGGCTAGGATGGTGTTTTAAGCAAATGAATCTTCTCCATATTTTAAAATACCTACACTAAACTTTTTTGGTCCTCACTGTAATTTTCTGTTATGAACAGTCTATTCTCTGACTAAATGTTAACATCTAACCATTGAATACATTTTCAATGTAATGGTTTTTTTTCCCCAAAAAGCACTGATGTCTTGCATAGTTAGTCCCTGATTTATTATGTGTTCCTCCTCTCTTGTAATTAACTTAATTTAGCAAACTTCTCATGACCTGTTGAGAAAGATTAAGTAATCAGGCTCAGGTAATATCACAGCAGCAACAAGCTGCAGGAGATGTTACCCTGCTTTTGACCCCCTTGGCTACAGCTGAAAATTAGGATTCCCTCAGTTCCTAACAGCTAACTTTGTGTTGTTAAAAAATCTAGACTGGGTAAAGTAAATAAAAAGCCATTTAAAATTAAATATCTGGACTTACAAAACACGGTTATGATGACAAACCCTTTACTTTATCCCTTAATTATAAAATGCCACAGTTTTACAGCATGTGAATTCTGGAACTAATATACCACTGAATTTTGACTCTACTAGTAGGTGTAAATCCACCTCTTTACTGCCCACACTGATAAAACTTTAGAGGAACAACAAACTGCTTAATGCCCTCAGCTGATAGAGCAATCTTTTGCCTGGATTTGAACAAAATAGAAAGTCTTTTTTTCTACGCCTTCTTTTTCTCTATCACACAGAACAAGAAGAGCCCTAATTAGATGCTTGGGGAGGTCCAATTTCTTAAGAAACAGCTTTGATTAAAAAAAGAGAAAAGAAAGCCACCAAACCTAAGCACATGTGTTACGGTTCCTGAGACACTTGCAATAAAAATTCAGAAGCTTGAATGTGCTAGTGTCAAAAAAGCAATACTACATATGAGAAAAAGTGGGGGGAGGAGGGGAGGGTAGAAGAGGGAGGGAGAGAGAATTTAAAACTAAAACAGAATTTGAGTTATTCTTTTTCTTCTGCCTTAAGAACATCAAGAACAAACCTGACATTACTTTAAGAAACGTTACTTGTTAATTTCAAGAGTGGCTACCTTAATGATATTGACATATACTTTAAGTTTGAACAAATAAAACCAAACTGCATCATAACAAATAGATGTAAACTCAGAAATCTAATTACTTCCAATTTTCCTTGACAACCAATTATTTTGCCTATTCTGCCATTATACTGCAATTCAACTGATTGAACCGGAATCCTTTTCTTTACTTTTTTTTTTTTAATCATGATTTAATTTTCTGTTTCCCAAATGGTTTGTAACAGAATCACCTCTCCAATCATAAACAAAGTCTAGATCACTAACACTGAAGAATTTAGCAGCGTACCCAAGAAGCATTTATCTGGAAAATTACCATGAGTTGGATTGCATTAAAGATTTTTGAGAGCGTTAATCAAGCTTGTCTGCCTCTGCTAAAATGCTGCCACCAGAAGACATGCTAAACTAATTATCTAATTGAGGAGCACTAGGTAGGCATATTTTCTTTCGCTGTTAAGTGAAAGAAGTAGCAGTTCTTAGTCATCATTTCTGTGCGACTCATGCTTACAGTTGTATACAAAATGTTTTTATGACTATTGATCTCCAGGTCAGAATTTACTCAAATGATGTCCAGTGACCAAGCAATGAAAAACATAGGCTTAAGATATCACTACTTTAAATGCATTTGAAATGAGAGATATGCATCTATTATTTCAATAATTAGTACTTTGATAATATCCTCCAAAAAAGGTTTTGAAATATTTGCACAAATTATTAAACTTCTGTGAGCAACGCCCTTTTAAATCCTGGGTTAGAAACCAGGCATTATAATCCCAAGCCTGGGATCAGGCTCTCCCTGCACCAGCAAATAAGGTATGATGGGATTTAATGCATTATCTCACAATCACACCTCCTGCCATGCACGTGGCATGGCAGGAGGTGCGATTTTGTGGCTTGCGCATTAGATCCCACTGCACCTTTACCTGTGTATGTAGAGGGCCCTCAGATAGGTAACTGAAAATACTACTTGTTCTGCTGTTCAAAAAAAAGACCATCTAATTCAAGCTTCCTTAGCTCTCTCCCCTTTCCCTGAGACTATTCTATAGTCTGATAGACCTCAGTGAAAGAACTTTATCTCTCCTGATATTCAGACTATTTTTTTCCCTTAATTTAATTTGAGTATTCACAAGAAAAAGAACACTTTCTAAGCAAATAATGAACTAAAAGTCACAACAGGTCAAAAAAATGGACTCAGGCTTGCAGGAATAGTACAACACTCAGGTCCCAGAAGCCATATGAAGCTTCAATAAGAAAACAGAATGTGAGAAAGGAGACCACTGAACAGAAAGACCATGGACAGGTGTTGCATTTGTACCAGGAAAAAAGCCTCTCTCCCAGCACAGAGAGAGAGCATATAACTGTTCAAGAGGTGGAAGAAGAAAACTGGCTCTTTTGTAGGAAAGTTCTCCCTCTTTCAACCTGGAAGATTACTCCCCTCCCACAGTAACTTGAATAAGTATAGACTTTTCTCAGGTGTTGAGGACACCCAGTGTCTCACAGTCCACTACATTCCCTCCCTCTCTCCCAGGAAAAGGGACCCTCTGGGGACTCTGCTATCGGTGCCAATGTCTCCCAGCCACCAAAGAGATGTGGGTAATCCCAGGCCTGTGCAAGTGCGGGGGGGGGGGAAGAGGAAGGCAACATTCCCCCAGACTGGAACAAGCCCCAGGCATCTACACTCCACCCCTGCCCAAACCAATCTGTGCACAAGCAGGGGACAATTTCCACAGCTGGACCTGCCCCTTTTCTCTATCTCCTGTCCCATGCATGCCTTCTGGGTGACCCAGAGAGGTGCACAAGGTTCAGGGAGAGGCATCTTCCAGTGGTTGGAACCCTTTTCTGACTCTGAGATTGGTTCCTGCTGCTGGGAAATGCCCCCTTACTGTCCTCTCAATCAGCCGAAAGCTCCAATCCCAGGCATGTCTGCCTCCTATCCTGTGACAGTTCCAGGTGTAAAAGAACACCCCCAGCTCCATGCACACATCTGGGTCACTCAGGGGGTGACCCTGGTTGGTGCAGGGGGCAGAGTGAAAAGAGCAGTTCTTCTCACCCCTCTCAGGCCTATAGGGTGAAAGACTCTGTGACAACTGCTGCTTTTCAGCAGCTGCCAAATGCCTATTGACAGCGTGCCCAGAGGGCAGGCTGTCAATCCATGCCCAAATTAGGGATTACCAAGGATAGCCAATGAAAAAACAAACAGCACAACTACAGCTGAAAACATGGTCCTGAATTTTGACAAAACAGAGGAAGATTAATGTACCATGCATAATATTGTAGGGAATGTACGTTTCAAAAACAAATTTAAAAAAAAGCATCTCATGAACACCAGCCTTGCAAAAAGACTCTAAAACCTCTACACATTTTCAGTTAGAACCTCCATATTCACAAGCCTCCAATCCACATTACTCAGGTAGGTACCCAAACTGGAATGAGAATGGGTTTTCTTTGGGATAGAACAGGGGTGAGCAAAATGCGGCCCATGGGCTGGATGCGGCCTGCCAGGCCATTCTATTCAGCCCACGGGGCCCCTAAAAAATTTAGAAAATTAATATTCATCTGCCCTGGGCTGCCTGTCAAGTAGCCCTTGATGGCTTGCCAAAACTCAATAAGCGGCCCTCTGTCCAAAATAATTGCCCACCCCTGGGATAGAAGTATGCATAACTGAAGGCTGAGTAGTGTTCTTAACAATACAAACAGGTCCAAAGTGATGGACCAAATCCATGCCAGATTCTTCAGGATTTTATCTTGATTTATACAGAACTCTGGGAAATATGGGAACAGTGAACAATTTTATATCAATAAGTTATGTATTAAAAACCAGAATCTAGCCATAAGAATATCCTTATGAAAGCTACAGGGACTTCAACTGGTACAAGAGACCACGGATTCATCTTTATATTAACAAAGTGACAATCTTCAACAATCTTCAAAAAGCACATTATTTGGCAGGGGCAATGATGCAATGCTGACTCAGAGGGGAGACTACTACCTACTACGTCACCAACACCATTTGCTGTAGCATTTGGATTTTCAATGTCTCTAACATAAACAATGGGGTGGCCAAACCCTGCTGTGGTCTTGTCTGGAAGGTGGACTGGGTTGGGAGGTGGTCCGATCTAGATATATTCACTAAAGGTTCTCGCGGTACTTTTTACAAAAGTAAGGGTGTTCTCTCCATTTGCTGGCCAAATTCTAATTTGAGTTGTTACACTCTGTATACACAAATTCCCCCTGAGGTTTCAGATAAATATGGTATTTCTCACTTTATGTCAAAACTGCTGAAAAATACAGCTGGAGTATGCAATGCATCAAAAAGGTATGAAAACAAAGAAGGTATGACATTTGTTTTAGGTATATTTTAGTTGTGCTAATGTGATCTGTTCTGAAAAGCACCAACTAAGAAAGGGACAAATCAGTTTAACTTAGTTCCAACAAAACTTCATAAAAATGATGTAATTGTAGCATAAGGTATAAAAAAAACAAATACGAAGCAAAAACACAAGTAATATTCCTTGAGAAAAACTGTGTTGTTAAGACAGATACATGACTATGACAATCTGCTATGGTCAACCCTATGGAAAGGAATTCCTGACTGTGAGATATTTTAAAATGGGTTGTTTTCCAGAGTATGAATACATTATGCTCCCCCTCCCCTCTCTAGTATTAGGACCATCACATCTACTAGTGTTTCAAACTAAGCATCTCAAGTCCTTAGAATAACTTTTAAAAATCTTTAAAGCTCTCTGACCTCTGCAATGCGTTTTATTTCGGTTTTCACATGAGTAATACTTCTGTGAATGTTGAGAAATACGTCTTTTTAAATGCTATCCTACTTTGTTTATCTGTGATAAACCTACCACAGAATTCTGCCCTTCATGTTTCTTTGGTGTATGCTGTGATCTTTGCAATTCCTTGGGCTATCTTACTTATAGATAATCTAAAGGCCTAAATTCAATGCCCATGGAAGTCAACACAGCTGTGTGCAAATCAGATGTAAAGGTTGAATAGCATTCTACCCGCTGCTTATTGTCACAAACAGCTAAAATGAACTGATTATCTATTTATCTAAGGAAGGGTTTTTTTCTAAAAGTGTTGTAAGCATATAAATATGGGCACAGGAGACTTCTTTTTGAGTGAAATATCTGTACATTTCTTTACCATACTTTACACCAGACTCTAACAAAAGAAGAATCTTTTAATGAGTGTTCTGTAGTCAGAAAATGTTTGCCTCGCAGTGGGAAGTGGAAACTCTCTCCAACCTACCAAGTTCCAATAGTCCAAAGAGAAATTACACCCTTAAAATCCTTTCCTTTTTAATGAAGGCACCATTTGGGACATTGAGACAACTGTAGAGGTCAAAAAGCCTGTTTTAATGCTACAACACAGAGATATGTTTTTAACACTACAGATTCCTATTTGAAATCTCTGAGTTTATTCTGTGAATCACACTGGCACACCTAAAAGTGCTAACCATGACTGCACCCTGTGGCACCCTTGAAAAAAACTCAAGGCACCCTGGTTGAGAATCAGTGATCTAGCCTATAGACTGTTCACAAAAGCAGTGAAGATATGCACACATCCTATCTTTCAGAAACCCACTTTATTGTAAAATGGAGATTTAAAACACACCCAGGACAAAACTTTTGAATACAGGCAAGAGTACTAACCTGGTAAGCTCTATTTATTTGGTTAGCTGCCCAACTAGCATACTTCATATTGTCTTTTTTCATTTTCGCACTTGCTTTTGGGTTGGAAGCAATATGGCTGGCAGACTAGGATTAAAAAGAGAAAAATTATAAAATGAGAAACTGAAATATGTGGGCTGCTTCACTTACAGTATAACAGGATAGAACAAAAGGAGAAAAGTAAAAACTTGTGATTCGCCAAACACTTACCTGGAGCTAAGCATGAATAATGTGGCAGAAAAGACCTTTGTGAAGCCAACTAGTCCAACCCCCAGCTCAAGACAAGGATCATCCCTGTATAAACTATTCCACAAAACCCCCCCAAAAACCTACAATGGGAATTCTACACACCCTTCAACTAACCTGTTCCAGTGCTTCTCCTCATAGCTAGAAAGTTTTTTAATATCGAGCCTAAGTTTCCCTATTTGCAGGTAAGACCATTATTTTTGCCCAGTACTGAGAAAACAGACATCATCCTCTTAACAACGCCTTCTGTTTTCAGGCTTTTTCAATCAATCCTCAATTTTTTTTTATCTTTAGACTAAACAATCCAAATTCTCCCTTTCCTCTCCTTTTCTATACTCCGACATTTCTAATTGCTTCTGTTGCTTTCCTCTGGAATCTTTTAAAATTGTTTTGGACACAAATCTCCAGGTGATGCCTTATCTGTGCTGAATAGGGTGAAAGAATCGTCTCCCAGGATTTGCGTGTGACAGTTTGTTAATACATACCAGTAAGTATTTCGCTTTTTTGGCAATAATATGATACTGCTGATTCATTTAGCTTGTGATCTAGTGTGACCCTGCAACCTAGCTAGTCATTCTCCGTTTTTTAATCTCTTCACGATTGTTTGTTCTTAAGTATAGTACTTTATACTTTTCCTTACAGAATATCATTCTACTTATTGCAAACTATTTTCCCAAATTTATGAAGGTTATTTTGAATTCTAATCCTGGTCTCTAAAACATTAAAATAATTGACCGATTTACCTAAACATTTTGGTTCAGCTGTCCAGAAAAGGGTACCCTTGTTCTCTTGAGTTGGGAAGAGAATCGGATATATTTCAAGTAGTTTGACTTCCTTTACAAAGGGAATGTCACAAAACAGCTCTTTTTTCCTCCATCCATTGGCAAGGAAAATATAAAATCTATCAATCTATGTCTAGAATGGCATACTTCAGACATTAGCTACTAACAGTTTTAAAACTGATTTCTAAACTGTACTGATGATTATTATCCATGCTATTTTTGTTTTTATACTGAAGTACATACACATGATTAACTTAAGGATAAGAGACAATAACAATAATCAACATAGTGGTCAAAATGCATATACTAAGAATAACACCATTAATAAAACAAAACATCAAAAATATACACACATTATAAGATAAGGTTAAATAAAAATTCTAACAACCTAGCAGTTTAGCTTTTGAAAAGCGGTATAAAAATAATTTACTGGATAAAATGAATTGCTTAAAATATCAGTTCATTCATCTACACTAACATTTCTTCTGTTCCACCCTTGGAAGAGCTGACCAAAATCAGGCAGCTCAGAAATTTCATCTGCCCCACTTCCAGTACAGACAAAGGTACTGCACAACACCTCTATTACAATTTAATACCCAATCAAACAAAGAAACAAAAACAAACAAAAAAATCAACACAACACTACAGTTTACTAACTAAATCTCAAAGCGCCTTACAAACAAGGTTAAAGTATTATTATCCCCATCTAACATATGGAAAAATAAGGGCACAGAAACCTAATGTAAATATTTTACAGCAAATCAGTACTAGAGCCAGGAATGGAACCCAAGTATTCTGATTTCCTCTGATATCAATGAGAGTAGAACCAGGCCCTTAAAGTCTATGCATAATGAAATGTTCATTTCCATTTATTGGGAGTGTTGGTTGTAGCCATGTTAGTTTAAGGACATAGGCAGACTCGGTTCTTTGGGTAAATGCGATATCTTTTATTAGACCAACTAAATAGCTGGAAAATGTGTTCTCTGAAAACTTTCAGGTACAAAAACCCTTCTTCAGGCAGAGGGAGAGTCTACAGTTCCATTGTGTCCCTTCCAGGACAGCACAGTACACATGTAGACTCTCCCTCTGCCTGTACCTAAAAGCCTGCAGAGAAGAATTGTTACAACTATTTAGTTGGTTTAATAAAAGATATCACATTTACTCAAAGAACCTTGTCTGCCCATTTCCATTTAGTAACTCCTTTACAATTTGCTAAAACTGTTAAACTAAAACAGGAAGATTACTGAATTCTTAATGATTCTTAAGGTGCTACCCTGCCCTCCCTTCCGCCTGACTTTGACTAACACAGGTAACCAACTCTCTGAGTTCCTAATGATAATGCTCATGAACAATAAGCTATCAATTGAAACTCACCATGTATAGTCCAAATAAAGCTCTCATGTTTCTGTTGTTTAGCTTCAATGCTTGTGCAAAATACTTTCTTGATAGCTCAAGGTTTTCAAGCCCACCTTGGGTATATTTAACCTGTTAAAATTACAGACTGTTAAAATCTACTTGTTTCATTATTTTGAAATCTTGAGTAATTTATTATATCACAGATGAAATACTTGAAATAGTTTGATATTTTTCTGCATAAAATTTATACAAATCCCTCCTCCAACTGTTAAGACTCATCTAAATATAGAATACCATGCAAAACTAAAAAAAAGAAAACACTATCATGAGTGTTCTTTAACGTGCATTGGAGTAACCTAATCTCAATTCAAAAATCAAATTTATAGAGATTCTTACTATAACAAAAAAAGCTATAGGCATTTTAAGTGTCAGTTAGTGAAAGAATAAAAGCTTACTTAGTATCTATGGTTTGTAGCGGTTTGTAAGACACAAAACCCCTAGATTTAAAAGTAGGGTGACCATATGTCCCAGTTGGCAAGGACAGTCTTGGATTTTGCAGGCTGTCCTGGCCGGCTGGTGTAAATTGAAGCAAAAGTCCCAGATTTGGCTGCTGCAGGCAGAGGAAGAGGCCCAGCTCCTGCTGAGCAGCAGCTGGAGATGGTGGGGAGGGTGAGGGTGGTGAGGATGGGCTAGGCTGGGCACCATTCCTTCTGCCTGGGGCTGGGATCATCCAGGGCAGGCCAGGGCAGGGCAGGAGGGGAGCGGGGGCTGGGGCCAGAGCATGGGCACATGCGTAGGGGGAGCCAGCATGACTGTCCACTGCTGACAGTCTCGCACATTGTCTCTGCAGCCACTGTCAGGGCCCAGGCTGCATGTGGCAGCCCCATGTGGCTGGCAGCAGTGGGGGGGTCAAGGGTGGGGTGGGGTGGGGTAAGGGGGAAGGAGGCTTCCCAGCCAGGTCTAGCCTCTGCACACAGGGGGTGGAGCCTGGCTGTGGTCCTCTGCACTGTCCTACCCCACCCACCATCAGGACTCCTGGGAACCACAGGTGCGTGCATGCATCTGTGCGTACATGCACGCACGTGTGCATGGCAGCAGCACACCCAACCCCTCGTTTCAGGTTCCCTTATCCATAATATGGTCACCCTATTTAAAAGCCTTCTGATCTGTGTTAATACAAATACCAGATCCCTAAATACAACTCTTCCTCATTTACCCCCCTTCGTAACAGGGATTCTTATGTGGTTCTCATTATATTTGATCCTCTTTACCACCACATTTTTTAAATATATCAAATTCAAAGATTGCAATTCATTAAATGAATTAATTTCCCCATCATGAAGCTAATTACAGACTTAATATGAAGCAGAAAATGCATTTCAGCTATGACTGCTAGGAACCACAGAGATATAGACAGATTCTGAAAATTTAACGCTGATCCAATTTTTAACCCCTACAAATAGGATTAATTCAAAACACTCTCAGTAATAACTACATAATTTGTAAAAGCTTATATTTGGAAACTGGTAAAACTTTGAACCAATCTAGTTTTCTTTTACTGCATTTAACTTTGATGCTTAGGTGAAGAAAATAAATGCTAGCAAAAGCTTAGTTTCCTTCAATAAGAAACTGTTCACAATAGGCAGTTATTGTATTCTCAGTTACAAATTTAACAACAGTACAATATTAAGTAAAAAAAGTAATGTATCATTACTCAATGTTTACAGTTTATCAGATTTTTACATTCCTGTTTATCCTAAAACTGAAAAAATATTAAAAGATTATTTTTATTCAATTGACATGGAAACTGAAGCAAAACTAAGAAGGCTAGTCAAATGCAATTGATTTTTCTAAAAATACTTACTTCAGCATACTGTTGACAATATAAGTGATTGTGTGGATTAGTCATCATAAGTTCCTCCAAACAGAAAGCTGCTTTTGCATAGCTGAGGAATATCAAAAAGCAGACAGTGACATGAAACAAGTTGCTGCTTTGATGAATGCATAATTCTTTGCTCAAGTATTCTTCAATTTCAATTATTTTCATCCTAAAAAGGTCATTTATATGCTGTGTTTCTCAGTACCTCCTGGGATATAGAGTCATTAGTTGTTTTATTGAAAAAAACCCTAAGAATACAGCTGCTGTAATTCAAACAATTTTCAAAGTCCTGGAAAAGATACGAATGCTTATTAACCAGTAAACAGTATCATTGCAATAAACATTACATCCTTTGGTGCTTTTTCAAAATCACAGTTTTAAAAAAATTGCTAAAAGGCATTCAACTCAGATTAAATACAAGATACCACAAATGTGATATGGGGCTGAAGAAATTATCAGTTATTTGATGTTGCATACAACAAGCTATAAATTAAGGTCCCAGTCCTGCAGTTAATGAAAAGTGCACTCATTTGGCATCCATCACAGAATTAAAATTTAATACCTTACACTCAAAGACTTCTGAGATCAGGCCTATCAGCTTTATTCATAAACAGAACTATACTAACACCACAAAGTTAAAATTATTTTCTTTAATTAAACTGATTTAGGAGAAACAAGAAGATAACAAGACACATTTTTATGAAGATATGGGGACTTCATAAAATGACTGAAAATGTATTAACCGACTTATATACAATTTCCTGTAGAAAAAAAAAATTGCATTTTAAACCAGGGATGAAACAGCTTTAGTCAAAATGGTTAGAACTAATAACAGCTCTAAATCAAGACAACTGGGGTTTTACTTTTACAGTACCTATAGGCATTTTTACACATGTATGCACTGCAGCACTGGGTGCTTTGAAATGCTCCCAGCACTGCGATGCATGCAGTTGTACAAGTGGTGAAACGTGCATCAGTACACAGAAAATGGCGGCAGTCCACTTTTGAACTAAAACACACTGAAGGTGTTTTAGTTCAAAAGCACACCGCTGCCATTTTCTCCGTGCTGATGCTCATTTTGCTGCTTATACAACTGCAAACGATGCAGCACGGTTGGCGCCAGCTAACGTGTGGAGCAGACTCTATTAATCAAGTTTACTCTAGCACGCCAGATCTCTGGTGCGTCGCAGCTCAAAAAAATGTGTATAAATGTCCTATAAATGGCACATCAAGAATATAATAAAAAGTATATAACCACATAATATATATTTTAAGCAGAATATATTTGTTAAAACAAAAATAAACTAATTGTGTTCCACAAACTAACCAAAAGATCACATATTTAACATTAAATGTTATCATGGGCTAAACAGTAACAAAGCCTCTGATTTCAGTCTGAAGACAAATGGATAGTCATCTCAAAGCACTTTAGGGAAGCTCTGAAGGTGCATAAAGTCTTAAACCAATGGATCAGGCTGCAGAAATGAAGACTCCCTACAGTTTGGAAAGTCAGGGCCACAGGCATTTATTTCTAGTAATGGAAAAGTTCCATTGCTAGAAATGTTTCCAAGGGAAGGAGCAATTCAGGCATTCAGCCTCTCCCCTGTTCTCTGCACCTTTCCAAGACCCAAAGGACTGGAGTAGCAGGACAAAGCCCACTGCCTACTCCTTGGCTAGGAGCCAAATGGAAGGTGCAACCCAGAAAACCTCACTATCTTCTTAGACCAGGGACCTTGGTGTGAGAAGTGGGATGGGAGCAAGGTCTAGCAGGCTTTCCTCACTGCTCAACTCCTCCCAGAACAAGGAGGTGGTAGGCAGCTATTACTTCCCATTCCCTACCCAAACCAGTGACCGGCATATCCCTGCTGTTGAACTCTCTCTAACCTCCTGGTCCCCAGGAAGAGTCAAGGGGTGGCAAAGGATACAGGCATTCATTCTCCAGGGAGAAACTCTCCTGAGAGTGACCTCTACTGTGCTGGAGGC